TGGCTTTCCTCTTCTGCTCTTCATATCAAAAAGCTTCATAGTAATTATCCTGTTTAAAATGATGCTATCAAGGATGGATAAAATAAAAGGAAGAAGATGAAAGAGAAGAACAAAAAAATCACATGAAACCCCCCAAAAAGGTATAAGAAGATATGAAAAAAATACTTACATGAAACCCCAAAGGAAAAAGTCTAAGAAGGTATGAATAAATAGGGGAATGAATTGTCTAATTAATTATAGGTGATTAAGGATTAAAAAAAACTGATAGTACGTGGGTTGAAGCAATGATTTAATAGGAAAAAATGTGTGATAATGCACGTTAATTGCTCCATTATGTATTTAGCTGTTACATATTTCCTTTTGGAAGGAAAAGTTAAATGTAGTAAAGGCTAATAATAAGGAAAGTGAATAATTATTTTAAAAGGTTATTGAACAGAAAATGAGAGAAAAAAAATCAAAATTTTAATAAATAGTAATACTGATCAATGAAGCATGCCACATCAGCGTGATTTTATTCAGCTTTATAAACATATATAGATTGTACTCCATGATAAATAATTATAACCATGAACGAATTTTTACCTTTCACATTCCGAAGCCGTTATATTTTGTGTGGTGAAAAATACTATCCTTTCATCCCTGTAAATACACAAACTTAAAACTTAAACCTATCACTCCACCCCTATGAATTTTTTTTCACTTCTACACTCATTGTTCTTCTGCCAAATTTTCTGATGGCTCAAGCTGATCACTTTCTTACGACAATCTTAATTGATATTAGTGTTGTTAAACTTCGGCTAAAGAGTTTTACCAAAAAAGACAATTGGGATTTATATTTAGAATTTTGAGAGTTACTAATTCTTTTGACAAGAACTTTATTTCTTTGTTATATGATTAAATAATACTTCTATGTATTTGTTGAGATTTATTTCTTGGCACTTGGTAGCATACATAGGACTTTTATTAGAAAAAGTACACAATTAAAAATAGGACGTTTATTATTTTTTGTTACAGTAAGCAATATTCTTATTATAAGAACTAATGTATTGTATTTGTATCAAGGTATTCTTTGTCAATTGCTGCTAGCTACTTCCTCACTTCCTTCTTCGTGTTTCTTTTCAATTTTTAATTTATCATGTAATTTTTGCTACTATATAATGAATTGCGTTTTCTTCTTCTTTCTTATATTCTACATTTGATGATGAATCTTGGAGTTGGAATTTCTTAGTTATCTTTTTGTTAAAAAAAATAAATAAGCAAATCTTCTCATTACTTATAGGTTATTATATTTTTATAGTCATCATTAATTAGGTAATGCTAAATGGCCAGAAAATTTGGCCAACATTTGACTAGAAACTTAAAAAATGTAATAAATTTTTTTATTTTAAAATAAACTAATCTTTTTTCTATTTTTAATTAAAAGGTATTAAAGTTAAAAAGGTAAAAATGTTCAAAAAGGTAAAATAACATAGGTAAAATACCATTCTGGCCAAATTTTTCTGGCCAAAAGGAGTTTTCCTTATTAATTATTTTTTCAAGCTTTTAACATTCCATTTCTTATGATGAGAAGCGCAAAATTCAATATCATAATTGTTCGAACCTTTCATAATTTTAATAATGTTGAAAGAATAATTTGAGTCACTATACATATTTGTATAAATATCTCTTGTGTTTTTTTCCCTTTCACTAACGTCTCATTTGTATTTCAATTTTCATTGTTTTTATTAATGATTATTTTTTGTGCTTATGAGTTATAATTTTCTTTTACAATAGAATCTTCATAATCTCTAATTCCCCATCATCTTCAGTTTCAGGTTCTTAATGAAACATAATAAATGGTACCTCATTCATTCATATTTTTAGATTTCGTGATTTTACTAGCAACTATATAATATTTTCATATGCGGTATTGTATTTTCCATTTTATGCTATGCAATAATTACTATACAATCATCACCCTTTTTTTAGTTTTTACTTTTTTTTATTTATTATATATGCAAACAATTATGTATATTCAAGTATATATTTATCTTTAAATTAAAGTATTATATATGTCAGTAAAGTAGCATCAAAATAAAATTTTATAACTTCAACTTACAAGTTGTTACTTTTTTCTTTATATGATTGTTTTTTATTTATTAGCACAAAGAGAGTCCAATAATATATGATTTCCAATAAGAGGAGCGCTCAGACAACCTTTTCTCTCACATTTGCCAACACTAGCTACAAGTTAACTACTTTGGAAAAACTGAATATAAGCTTGAATAACACCATCATGTACAATCAGCTGCCGGGTGCAAATCCTATGATTTTCCATGGACGCTGAAGGGTTTTTTTTTTTTTTTTTTTTTCACTTGCTGATTCACATTAACATAAATGAGTCATAGCATTAAGAATGAAAAACAAATCAAGGAACATGTGAAGAAATAAGAACGAAAATATTAGTTTCAAGAATGACCCAATACAATAGCTTAACAGAATTCATCCTGAAGAAATTGATGACGTCCCCATCTTCATACAAGGAGAAAAGAAAAGGAGGGTGTTATCTACAGTGTTTGCTAAGAAACTAGGAATACCAACAAAATGTCTTAGATGGTTGATCCAGTACATCTGCATATCTTTGGTATCTGGAAACATAAAATTGGTATGTTAGCATTCCAAGGAGAAATCATACTACTGATATAATATGCATCAATCATAACAATTTTAGAGTTTGTGGACAGCCTAGATGGACAGTCATCAAGTAAACTTAAGGCAATTCATCAAACTCAAACCAACATGAAACCTTCTCTCTTAGGAACCAAGAGTTTGGCAGCTCGACGACAATACCATCTCTACATAATGCAGCTTGCTCATCTGATGCACTTAAAACTCCTGTATTTACTGAGATTGTTCCCCTTAAGACAGAGGGATATAAACTAAGCTTTGACCTTTTACTTCTTTTTTTCTTTTTTGTTGTTAAGGATTTCAGGGATCAAGTATAGCACCAAAATGCAGCTGTATTTGTTACCAAAACCCAATAAATCTGTTTCCACCATCAGATAACAGCTTAAAAATGCTTGAGCATCAGGTCAACACTTTGTCCCTTCAAGTCACCTCTCCTGGCTTTTAATTTGTCTCGCAAATACCGAGCAAGTCAAAACAAGTTTGCCAATCTCATAATGAATAATAGCATAGGTTATGTAATTATACTATTTATTGCAACAGTAGGCAGATAAACTTCAAGAACCATTGGCTAAAAAGAAACCTTCTATTCTATATAAGTAGGCTGATCCTAGTTCTGGAAACTCACATTGTAGGCAGCTAATCATCATGCATGTAAAATTGCAGTTGAGCCATTTCCAATGATCCTCTATAAAGCTCTTCAGTTCAGTTCACTAACCCTAAAACACTGAAAGATCAAATGCATGTGGGTGAAACACAAACCATATGCATGTGATACAGAAGTACTTAAGAATCTTAACAGAATCCACATAGGAAACAACATGTTCTTGAGTTTGCTTTCTCCTAAACAAGTGATCAAATCAGATTCATATCCAAATTGTTGCCACTAGTCTACTACCTTATGAATTATTTTAACAATATAGCCAAAAGCTAATATAGGAAAATCTTCCAAGAATGATTAACACGAAACACACCAACACCACTACTTAGAGGTGGAAAGGGGCACGTTTTACCCTAGTAAACCAACCATGAAGAAAGATCTAGTGCTTTTTTTCACCTTTCGATTTATGGATGAGTGTTCTTGGAGTAGTTGGTCTAGCTCTGAACCTACGTGCCTGACTTTTTTCTCAGGAAATTCGCAGAAGAAGATCCTGAATTTGAGACTTTCTACAACAAAATATTCTCTTTGTTCTAATTTGTGTCTCAAGTGCTTACCTCCACAAGATGGCCAATGCCCAGAGAAGTACAATAATATTGACAAGACTGAGGTTGAAAGAAAATTGTTTGGAGACAAGAAGCTGATCAAAGAACACATTCAGAGCTTTTATGAGATGCTCTTTACTGAAAGATAAAAATGTGGGGTCAAAGAATGCAAGTGGATTCAAAGGCCATTTACAGAGGAAGATGTAGTGGACGCACACAGGCAATTTGATGGGGATAAAGCCCCTGGCACCTGATGGATTCAACATGTCCTTTAAAAAAGGTTGACAGGACTGATATAAATGAAAACATTGGAATTTTTTTATCAGGAATTGAAGGCACATTTGAGAGGAGTTTCACTGCTACTTTCAGAGCTCTCTTTAAGAGAAGAGGAAATGGAGATTAATGACTTTAGACCTATAGCATCCTAGTACCATTTACAAACTCATTGCAAAGTGCTTGCCGAAAGATTGAAGACATATGATAAGCAAACTCATTACAGGCAACCAAAATGCCTTCATTAAAAGTAGACAGATTTGGGTTTGTTTTTTTTTCATGTTCGGTAAGTAAGAAAATATTATTCTAAAAATATTTATACGTAATAATTATATCATATCATATATTATTATAAGTGGAAAAGAGTTTAAGTCAAAAGTTGAATTACGAAAATACCCCTAAACTAATTTTTTTCCATTAAAAAGTATCTTTTACTAACTTTTAAAATAAAATCAATAATTACATTTTCTCTAGCTACTTCCGTTTATTTGCATTAATAAAAAATTTCAATTAAAAGTAAAAACACCTTTAAGGCATTTTCTTTCAGAGATCACAATAAATATTGACTCTTCATTATTTTTCTTCAACTCTCGAACTTTTGCTCTTCTAACTTCCAAACTTTTGGCCTCCCAATTCAATAAATCACTACATATACTTAACTCTCATGCTTTTGCTCTTCTAACTTCCAAACTTTTGGCCTCCCAATTCAATATATCACTACATATACTTATAACTTTTTAAATCATTTCACCTTGTAGTAGATTTTAATTTTAAAGCTGCTGATTTTTTTTTCTATTGGGCTGTATCAGGTATTGTTTCATTTGTAATAAAGAAATTTTGTTTGCTTTATTGATTCTTGTAATTTTTCATAATAATTTCTTCTTCTTCCATTGATTATCAGGATTTCAATAAAGATTATTTTCTCAGTTATTTATGTTTTTCATTTGTTATTGATAAAGTATGTTTGCTTCATCATGTATGAAATTGATTTAATTTGTGTTTCAGTTGCATTGATATTCTTTATTACATAAAGAATAATTTTATTTTTATTTTTGTTTGATTAGATAAAAATAATCTTAATTATTATACTGAAGAAAAATAATGTTACACCTTGTGCACCAATAAAGCCATACGTACAAGTAAATAAATACAGTATATTTTTGTTTGTATCATTGTAACTTTTTTTTTTGGCACAATTATTGTAAATTTTTATTTTAGTTTTGTACCATTTGTTAGCAAGGAATAGATGTCTCAGTTCTAAGCAAAATATTTGGCAGATTTAGATGGTAAAATTTAAATTTTGATACAATTTATTTTGTTAAATTGAAATTTGTAAGTTAATTATATACGTCAAAGAACTTAAATCAAACTCTTTTTTTCATTTCTTCCATTTCCGGAAGTTGATTTGAATGATGAATTGAGATATGATTATTTCTTACGCAAAAATTAGTTAAACATTAAATAACTTTTTTAGTATCGAATACGTCCGTAACTTGACATAGGTGAAATTCAAGTAAACAATCCAAAAAATATATTTTTCTTTTCTTTTTGATCATTTTTTGTTATGTCAACACACTGTGTTAATTTATTTTTATTTATTTATTCAATATAATAATAATGAAAAAAAGTATGTTTTAACTATAATAAGTGAATGTATACTTTATTTGTAGCTTCTATTTTATAAAAATGAAATTTGTGATTTAATATTATGTCAAATAATTAAAATTAATATATTTAATCTTCATTGCGGTTCTTTTATTTTCAAAAATTAATTAGAATAGGAGAACCATTTTCATAAGTTAATTGTAATATAAAAAGAAAATTATTTTGATTATTGATTCTTGTGTGCTATATAGTACTTAATGTTTGTTATCTACAATTTCACTTTTATAATATTTTTATATTTGTTGAATATAAACTTTTCACATTTAGCTATGGTTTGCATTAATTTATTTATTATTTAAGTTTTTTTTCCCAATAGTATGATGACATGTTTATCTTATTGCTTTTCACGTTAATTGGGTTGATATTACAAATATTTTTTTATGTTAAAAATGGAAGGTTTTAAATTCAAAGTTGGATTACGAAAATGCCTTTCTCTATATTTTTTAATTAAAAATTTACTTTTTTCTAACTTTTATAATCAAATCAATAATGATAATTAATATATTATTTATTAGAAAGTTTATGTTAAAATGTTGAACTTTATTATATGCTTTTGAAATAAACCTATAATGACACTTCCACTTTATTATATGTTTTTCAAATAAACATGTAATGACACTTCCATGAATTATAAAAAGAGTTTTTCTGACTCTATTTTATATTATTTATTTTCACCAAATTTCTTACATTACATGGCTTTAATGGACGAACTTGGTGGACACAATAAGATAAATAAATTAGAAATATGAGTTGGGACGGTATAAAATTTAATATAATGATAGGGGTCAAGCATACAACGCACGTTCCTAGTGTGTATATATATATATATATATATTAAAATTTATCTTTTTTTATATGCATTTACTTTTTGTACCTTATAATTTTTTATTTATATTGTTTTCTCTTTTTCTACCATACTGTTAATATATCACAAATGATTGTGTTGTATTTCATAATTCAATTATATGTATATAGTTTGATAAAAATTTCTTTTGTCAAAATTTACAGATGACAGAATTAATAATTTTGAATGAGCCAAAGAAGACGAAGGGTACATATACATGTAATTATTATTTATATATGTCAATTAAATATTTAAACAATGATTATTTTATAACAAATAAATACCTTTTTTTGTAGGTTTAGACTATGAAATTGATAATGATCTACTAGCCATCCTAAGGAAGACATATGTTGATCGAATTTCTCTACAACTATTACAAAACACCACTCTCCTTCAACGACAAGTTCTCGATATGTATGCATTTGTAAAAAAGTGGAGGGTATTCCTTAAAAAGAAGGTGGAAACTTTAAGGCATTAAATCTTTTGCTATAATGTCGACATTTAAATTATGTGTTGTAACATATTAAAAAACGAACTTTTAACAAGTTGAATACTTGATATATTATAAGAATTGTATAATTGAAGTCATTATAGTATTAGTTTTGCAATTCACTTGATAACAATATTTTTGTATGATGTGCCTTGCAATGATCATAATATCAGTTGAATATGCTCACCGTTCATTGATTTGAGCTTGTATTTTACACATCGTACACTTATAATTTAGAAGTATTTATACTAATTAGCACGATCTACACGTGCAACGCACGTGTTCAAAACCTAGTTAAAAACTATAAGGGTGGAATAGTCAAGAGTGAGAATTGATGGGTAGAGTGGAGATAATGAATTTGGAAGGTTACTTATGAAACTTTTGTTTCCTACTTTCATTCCTGCAAATGACCCTATTTTAGGTGGTCTTTATTTTTCCCCCTCAAATTGATGGTCTTTAATTTTTGTCTTTTGGACACTTTTAAGCAAAATAAGTGGCCGAAAAGCCTGAAAAAAATAAAATAAAATAAATAAATAAATTGCAATACACTAGTTATGCCTTTCAAGGTATAAGCTAATTAGTTTCAGAATATTAAGACTTAAAAAGTTCTTAACTACAAATTATGGCACTTAATTCCTACGGAACTTTTTTGAACAATATAAAACTTCTCTAAACATTTACCTTGTGAAATTAGGTCATAGTTAAGGATATTTTGTCCACAAATTTTCATTAAATGAGAAGCAAAGACAAAAATTTAAAACCATCCCAAAATATGAGCAATTCGTAAAAAACAACTTGAAGTCATTTTCCTCATTTTTAAGAAACTCTGCATTTCCATTTCCAACATCATTAAGAAAAAGGTAAACGCCAAAGTGTTCTCTTCAAGTTGGAACTTTCTCATGGGGACCAAATGTCACGTCCCGAGCCTACACCCTGGGCGTGGCCGGCACTCGACGACCATTTCTGGCCCCGAGCGAACCCTTGGCTTGGCTACTTAACTCAGCGGAAACTTAATTCAACAGAATAACTCCATGCAATGAAAGGTCATAAAACAACCTAACTGATAAAATCTGGCTAAAAAGGTAACTCGTGTCTCAAAATAGAATATTTATATATATACATAAAGATGAGAGACTTAATACTAACTGACTGACTGTCTGTGAACTCTATAACACTGAGATGGATGTTGGGACAGACCCCGCAACATCCTAACAAAGCAAAACTAGGAAACAAAATAATAGAGTCCTCCGGAAAGCAAGGAGGCTCACCACTGACTCTGGAGTGC